ATAATGAAATGATGCACTAATTTCCACAAATTGTCTCTAAATTTGTTATTATTACGCAACGGTCGCCACAGCGCTTGAATTTTGTTTGTTTGATAAAAATTCGGGAATGTTTGATTTAAATGATTACAAAGCTGGAACATTCCTTGGAACTTTTCCTTAGAACTTCAAGCTAGAAAATGTTGGGGGAGGTGCGATTCTCCGCCATCTTATTTTCTTGTTTAGTTGCCGCACCAGTGTGTACGTATTAATGTACGTCAAATAGAATAAAAGAACAACTGTAATTCAGGCCCATCTGCATAATGTAACATTAAAATATTAATCTCATCATGGCTTCTGTCAAAATTCTGTCAAACTAATTGAATTGACAGTAAACTCCGTGGAATATCATTGACTTAAGCAATTCACATTTTCCAATGCAAGTCATAGTTCTTAGTTGTTCATACAATTTTTTAACGGCAAATAAAATGTTTCAAACGCGCTTCATTTGTATTAAACTTTAATGAAGACCAAAGTAGAGGAATGGATGGAAGATTGGAATTTTTGCGAGGCCGTTACGCTGGTGTCCAGTGGCTGTCTCGCAGCGCCATAAATATCGACCGTGCGTCCTTCAGAGAAAACCATAAATTGAGGTCGACACAGAAAACGGCCGCTGGACTGCGACTTTAAAGAGGAACTATTCTCTCTCGTGCAGTACTTTCTGTCGCCCTTCATTGTTGTATTGGGAAATTTGCTACGAGGGGTGCAGCCCATTCATGAATGATAACATCATTTTCAAAAATATGTTTCGGTCGTAAAAATTAAAGTAGATAACTCTGTCCCTGTCTCATTAGATTTCAGAAACGCTTNTAGTCTATTCTCAATTGTAGACTCGACCTAATTAAAATAACACTCACAAGAATCATTGAATGTTTTAACGAGATAATAAAAGGAAGAAATTTTTTTCAGGATATGCGAAATATGATCGCTCCCAGTCGGGGTTCAAAGCATGGATACCGTTCGGTTCTTATTTCACAGCATTTGCTTCGGGATAATGATTGGTAGGTACAACTAATCGCGAGATTTCCTAATAATAAAATTTCATACCAACTGAAGAGTAGGAAAAATATTTTTTGATTCTAAATGATCTTTAAATTGTTGTTTATAGTCCGAACTGACTTATTCGAAGCTTAGGCACTTCAATCTTCGAGTTTTTAATTTTTTTTTGTTCCAAAAAAAGAAACTAATTATCATGTTGTTTTGCTCTGATACTTGCTCAATTATAATCCTGAATTGTTACTTCCCTCAAATTATTTCGAGGCATTGTTATAATGATATATTAGCTTAGCGTTTACTATAATTAATTAGTGTTATATTTTACGACAAAGTGCAATTTTTGTCGGATACCATTTATCATTCATGCGAGCATTTATTAATTATTCTCTCAATTTTAGAACAACTTTGAATGGAACTGGATTTCTTTATTCTTCCATACTTATTTACAAGAACAGTGAACATAGTTAGCGAACATATTTTTTAATACCCTATGGTTAGTCGTAAACCTATTATATTCAGGAATCTTTTTTCATATTTGAAATCATTCCACTTACCGATTTTTGGCATAAACTTGAAAAAATATATAATCCATCGTTGTCCATTATCTGACATACTGGATTCTTTAACGTTGTTTTAAATAAATAACCCGTCTGTGTCCATAATCTGACATGCTAGGTTCTTCAAAGTACTTGTAATTATTAGTATGCACTTGAACACTTTGTGTAACCCACTTCACAAGCAAATGTCAAAGACTCCTTACGCAAAGGAGGTCTCTTGAGAACTGTCTGCTCCTGTCTATCATTCTTGGACCATCCTTTTCGAGTCCTTATTGTGGTAATTTTTTGCCCAAATTTATTACCCTGACGCTCCAGCCCAAAGGTAAATTTGCCACGGGGAAACTGCTTAAATCAATCACCGGTATTTCTTGGAAGGTCGCGCAATCTTTGAGATCTCATGACAGGGTTATAATTCGTTAATGCTGCTTGCATGTGTTTTTTCCAGTAGAATTTCTCTGACGAATAAAATACTAATTAGGCAAAATTTTTAATATTAGCAAGCAAACATTTAAGGATTCTTTTTTTATGCGTAAAAGGCGTGCTAATTTTGCGGGCAGGATTAGCTAAGGAGGTTTGGCGCTCGACCGCAAACCGGTGCTCGACGTGTTTTACGACGCACCTCAATGCCCACTCCAAACTGTGATTATATTTAAAACTCACCGTAGGAATAGCGTTACGATTGCCTTTAAGGACTCATGATTGCTCCATCCTGACTACTAGTTCTCATTAGCATTGAGCGAATTCTATGCTGTAAAATTTCTTATTTAAATATCTCGCACTATTCTTGGTCATTTTTTTACCACCTTTGAAAACTTATCAAATACAAATTAGATTTATTCAAACTAAAACCACAAGTTTCGAAGAAAACGTTTTTTTTTAATTTTATTCATTTGATAGAAAGTTTCATACCGGTCCAAAAAATTTTACTAGTTTGTATAACTCTTGGGTATAAAGTGGATTATAAATTTCATACGAGGTGCAGAAGAAAACTTAGACCTTTTTGCTATAATCTAGAAATTTCAAAGTGTAAATTTACTTAGGGATATTCTAATATATATTTCAGGTCATAATTAGAAAATCGTCAGGATCACATTATTATGATGGACATTTAGTATCATTAATTTTTCCGCCTCGTAATAAAAATTACGATCTCCTGCGATTTAATAATAGTTCAACCTGAAAATCTACGAATTCATCATACCTCAGATTCACTGATCAAATGGGAGAAATTCAGCGCTTTCGATAGTATTTTTGGGGGAATTTCTCGTCTCGTTCTAAATAGGTATATGCAAAACGGTAAACTAAATTTGGGTAACGAATACCGTAGACTGTTTGTAAAAAGGTGCCGAAAGGCAGCATTACTATGTTGTCATCTCAACATTAGTTGTTCTTTAAATACCAATTTATTGTTTTTCTAATGGCCAAGGAATTTAAATTACGTTAATGAAGTTTTGCTTGTAAGGACTCTGCAAATTTACTGGTATTTCCAGAAAAACTTTGTATTTCCTACAAGCGCGTATGCTAGGAGGGCTTCCCATTTTCCTCCGGGGAATTGAGCTTCGTGGTTGAAAGAAAATGTAAGTTTGCAGAGCAGGACACGCGATTCCGAACATGGTTACAAAATAAAATACGTATATCTAATCGCAAATGAGACAAATAATTTCTCAAACTCCATTTATTTGGAAAAAATGTAAATACATTTTTCTTTGGATATCACTATATATTCGTAAAATAGGAAAAAAAATCAATAATTTTATCTATCATTCAAAAAAAAAAAGAACTGAAAGACATGATCGAGAGTGACTGATTTTTTCGAGTGTCTGGGGCATATTACCGAAAAAAAAATGCTTCCCATTTTCCTCCGGGGAATTGAGTTTCGTGGTTGAAAGAAAATGTAAGTTCGCAGAGCAGGACACGCGATTCCGAACATGGTTACAAAATAAAATACGTATATCTAATCGCAAATGAGACAAATAATTTCTCAAACTCCATTTATTTGGAAAAAATGTAAATACATTTTTCTTTGGATATCACTATATATTCGTAAAATAGGAAAAAAAATCAATAATTTTATCTATCATTCAAAAAAAAAAAGAACTGAAAGACATGATCGAGAGTGACTGATTTTTTCGAGTGTCTGGGGCATATTACCGAAAAAAAAAACAGAAACCGAAGTAAAACGCACCTGGTATGCATTAAATGGTTGACTGGATTTTCGCGCAGTTTGCTCGCCTTTTCCTCGAAATTGCGGGTTGTGGGAAAAGAAAATATATTGCACGTAGGGATGACTTGGAAGGTCATGGGGGTCAGGGTGGAAGAAGAAAAGATGTTATTTCTTCAGATTTCTATCATAGAAACGACCAGAAACCATGAGTTTTGAGGTCGTGTTAAAAGCTAATATGCAGTATAAACAAAAAAAAATTGTACTGGGGTCTTGATGTAGTACAATAATTAAATGTTCGAGAAATATCATTACAGGATAAAAGAAATATATAGGTACCATAAACTTCGAGAATACGCGAACAGGAGAAATTGAAGCTGTATAGTGTAGCGAAAATTAATTCATCTCATTGTAATTAGTTGATTACGTACAAAAATCAACATATGTGTTTAAACATAGCAAAAAGGAATTATTTTGTAAGAAGTTTGGGAATGAATTTTGAGAAAATCTTGATTGATAAAATAAGGTAAAAAAAAACAAAGAATAATATTGACTGACAGAATATTTCGAGATATCAGTGAAAGTTGAGGAAAATATTTCCGAGACGAGTGTGATAGAAAATTTAAATGAATGACATTATTTTAAAACACCAGAATAGATGTTCATTTTACACATTTTCCCCCATTTTCATGCAGTTGAATTTTTACGATAATAGTAGTTGAATTTTTATGATAACTTTTACGATAACTACGATGCGACTTCTTCGTTGATGATATTGGGTGGATATCAACAAATCATTAAATTTGTTGATAAAAACTTATACTGAAGCAATGAAATTTTCACAAGTTACAAATAAATTTAATTTCATATTTTCCGGACTTATCCCGATAATACTTTCAATGAATAAAATTTTATGAGCCAGTAGTGTTTCAAAAAGTCAGGTGCAATTAAAATGTTTTCAATATAATCTCATTGTCAAAAATGAATACATTTGTTCATGTACTTTATTCAAATTTTAATTTTTTCGAATAAAATTTATCAAATACAATTTTTTTAATCAACTGACTGTTCCAGCAATTCGTAGAACGAATAAATTCCACTTTGGGATAAATTTCTAAAATTCATATAAACGGTAAACTTAAGGTACTAAGCGCTCCAATACCTGAGAGAACAGAGTTTTGCATTTCTCAATAATTCATAATGACCTTCATATACTGTTCCTATTTTCATTATATATTTATTCCACAGATTTGCCTCCATTGCATAGGATGCCAGTATTTTACTTCTATCAGAAGAACACTATTTGTCTGTTTTGTGTGCATGTTGTTGCAAGTAAGAAAATCTTTGTAGTGTCTATCTTCACTGATGAATCCCACTGAAAATAAGGCGTTGATTTGTGTCCGAACCGTGGTGTGCTGATTCACTTTGTCAGCATTAAATATTATTAAACTTTCCTTGTTTTTAACCGGTGCCTTAATAACTGTATACGATAAATTTTGCAATGGTTGATATTTGGATGTACTCATTTTAATGCGGTTGCGTTGCTCTTTTTCATCAACTACTAAATAATTATGAGCGGATGACATCATTTTAGCGTTCCTTGAAATGAAATAAATGCCCGGTGAATTGATGTAACTGTACTAGAAGTTCCAATTATTTTATCATTCAAAAGTTAAATCATGTGGGAAAGTGAAGTTTTTTGCTATTATTTATGATGCTAAATTACCCATTTAAAAACTACTATTCATCATTGCTTATATTAGTTTTAAACTTGTTTTGTGTGTGATGGTGACTGAGAAGAAAAAACGACCGCCACGCCGATCCCTGCCTGAAAAAAGTCCATCCGTAGGCTGTAGTGAAGGAGGCACCGGAACACTGGTCTTACAGTGCACCATGCGTCGCGTACGCAGCTTATAAAAGTTACGAGTCAAGGAAATATCGAAATGTGTGAAGTGATGTGGCCTTCGGGAGAAGCTGGCATGCATGGGCACCATGGGCAGCCCATGCCTGGGTGTGAAGAAGATTCTCCTGGAGGCTATTGTCCACCTAGCACTTATACTGAGAATAATGAGGTCCGTTATATTGTCTTGTTTTTGGTATTTTTTTAAAAAATGGGCAAACCACACAGTGTCTCAGGAAACTTTCTCGTTTATGAAATCTTCAAATATTTTTTGTAATGAAACGTTAAAAAAATTGAGATCGTTTTGTTTTGCTTTGTCTTTCAATTTTAACGTATTGTTAATAGTCTTGGTATGTGGTATTTCTTCAAACGTCTATTCTCTATTTAATGGTACATGCTTGTGTTGCGTAAAATTTGTCACTCTGTTGTATTCCTTGTACTGTCTGTCTATATAAACTCTTACACTCAGTACTCTCCGACTAAAATTTCAAATTATCTGTAAAGTTGTTCTTCGTCACCATGTTGTTTATTGACTTTCTTTTGACTCATGTAGCATCATATAATCTATGTAAATAAGGTAAGCTGTGCTTTGTCATCATTTTCTAATTTCATCATGAATCTCTTTTCAGGTAACTACATTTTTTATGCCTCTTTGTAACCTGTGAGCTTAATGAATCCAAGAAGCATATTTTTTAGTATAAGCTTCATGAATGCAACTATACGAAATTACGAAAAACACATCCATTTTATTTCAATGACTTTTGGAGGAAATTTTCTCACATTGCGATCCTTAACAAATTTTTTGTATCGAATAAGGCGTTTGATTGATGATCGAACGGACTGTATGTGAGCAGCTAAGTGTCTTCCTTTAATTATGCCAAATATTTCTCAAAAACTTTCCAAAAGTTTTTCCAATTTTTTCCTCAATATTTTCCGACAATCTGTTTTCTTTGGATTCCTCTTCTCCATAAAATTGTTACCATTAATTTTGATATTCCCTATTTGTTTGCCATGTCCCTAGAACAAGGATTTAATTAATAATGAAGTTTATATAAGTGGATTTTTCTGGAGGAAGAACATTTAATAATACCAATAATAGTGATAATACCAACCAATAATTCTATTGGTTGAAATAATGTGTTTAAGTTCACGCTTATAAATATTCTCGGTTCAACGTACACGAATTTCCTTACATGTAGCGGCCTTCGCGGGGATTCTGCACAGGCAACACGGCCAGGTGGTTCTACGCTGATCAATATTCCCTTATCTTTCCCGTCTCCTTTACCCTAAAGGAACACGGCCCGCTTCCCTGGACAAGCTGTTTTATTGACTTTCTTTTGACTCATGTAGCATCATATAATCTATGTAAATAAGGTAAGCTGTGCTTTGTCATCATTTTCTAATTTCATCATGAATCTATTTTCAGGTACCTACATTTTTTATGCCTTTTCCAATTACATTTTCCAATTCCAAATAACCATTAATTCCATTGGTTGTAATAATGTGTTTTAGTTTCCGCTTATAAATATTCTCGGAGCTACGTCCACGAATTTCCTTCCATGTAGCGGCCTTCGCGGGGAGTCTGCACAGGAGACACGGCCAGGTGGTTCTACGCTGATCAATATTCCCTTATCTTTCCCGTCTCCTTTACCCTAAAGGAACACGGCCCGCTTCCCAGGACCAGCTGTTTACTCCACAAAGATTTGTTATTTCTTTATCTTTCCCGTCTCCTTTACCCCAAAGGAACACGGCCCGCTTCCCAGGACCAGCTGTTTACTCCACAAAGATTTGTTATTTCTTTATTTTTCCCGGCCCCTTTAGCCTAAAAGAACACTGCTCGCTTCCCAGGATCAGCTGTGTACTCCACAAAGATTTGTTATTTCTTTATTTTTCCCGGCCCCTTTAGCCTAAAAGAACACGGCTCGCTTCCCAGGATCAGCTGTTTACTGCACCAAGATTTTATATTTCTTTATTTTTCCCGGCCCCTTTACCCCCAAGGAACACGGCCCGCTTCCCAGGACCAGCTGTTTTCTCCATCAAGATTTTATATTCATTTGCCTTTCCCGACCCCTTTACCCCAAAGGAACACAGCTCGCTTACCAGGACCAGCTGTTTACGCTGTCCACTCCACCAAGATATTATATTCGTTTGTCTTTCCCGACTCTTTTACATCAATGGAACACTATATTCCCGCTTCCCATGACCAACGGACCAACACGGCTCGCTACTTTTCAACAGCTAATGTCCACCAAGATTAGATGCTTTCGCAATTCCCGAATGTTTCTTTAATCTCACTCCGTTTATTTGCTCATGAGTCAACACAAATCGCATTAACCAGAAGTCAAGCCGCGTTCGTGATGAAATCTGATTCGTGCGCGTATTCTTTTCTGTGCATTTTTGATTCTTTGGGTAAGATAAAATTATTCTTCGTCTTTCTTTCGCAGTATTTATAGCATTCATGATAATTTTAAATGAAAGCATTGCAGATATTTATTGATTCTTTTAATTTATTTTTTCACGAAAAATAAATTACATGGCAGAAACTGCCATCAAACCTACCACTGCGCCAACATCTATTTTAAATACGAAAGTTCATAGCAAAGAATGTCATGTATCGAGGACTTTCCTCACCGTCCAATTTCGTTGCTATTGATACTTTGCAAGCGACAAAACAAGTCATTTCGCCGTCTGGCCTGTCGTGCCACTGACACAATGGGCGCCGCTGTCCATTTTCGCTCAGCGCTGCCGCTTCCTGCTCCAATTTCTGCTCCACATTATCCGCTTCCCCATAGCAATTTTTCTACGCGATCCATCTCTTTGTGTGTTTTCCTACTGCCGTCGCTGCATTGTGGCGCTTTTCCGTGCTATTGAATAAGGACAAAGCATTAGTATATGCTTGAGAGACTTACTCACGAAACGCCTGTTCTTTTGCCGGTTCTACGCCTAAAGTTGGTTTACGGTGCGAGGAACACGTACTGTAATATATTGCTGAAGTTCAGTCAAATATTATTCGAAGTGTATACACTGCTTATTATATGGCCATTTTTGAGCTGTTACAAAATCGGAAGAAACATCAACGTACTTTTAAGGTATTGTGTGGTATTTGAATTTTATTTGACACTTTAGCAAAATCGTCAGACATTGATTTGTAATCGTCCTGATGTATTAAATCAAAATTTTGTATAATATCTCAATAATTAAATTATTACAAACGGATTTAATACAACCATTTCCGCAATATTTTCTTTGCAATAATTTAGGAATCAACTTCAAACTAGAGTTAGTTAGTGGCGAGACTTCTGTTGATTATACACTTTTTTAATAACTGAAACTTCGATTCAGTTTCTCAATAATATCAAAGATTATAATAGCAAATAGCCTAAAACGGAGTTTGCTCTAATTAGATTGTTTTCGTTCCTCAAACGAAAATTAATATATCGTTAATAATATCGTTAATTTAATTTAATAGTTCAATAATATTATAAACTTCTGCATTTATATACCTTACATAACTCCTACAAACTACACATGAATTTTATAATGCCCTCGATCGTTGCAGAAAATCGATATATTGACGGGGAAATTTATTGCGCTCCTCTATGAGAGGAAAGTGTGGCCGCTGACAAAGACGGATCAGGCTCAGATTTGGGGTCAATGAAGCCAGATCCCGGTTTGTGTGATTTAGACTTACTACGTAGTAGGGCGTGAGCGGAAATATTTATTTATTGAATTATAAAATGGAATCCTTCAACGCGATTGATTAAATTTAATATTGAGACCTTTTTCTTTGCTGCTAGATTAATATTGTCTAATCATGAATTTTGAAATTTTTGTTTTCGTCTCGGGAAATTTATTCTGAAATGAGACACGCAGTATTGAATCATTGTATGAGAAGATGATATGGATAATACAATTGATTTAGAATATATTAATATTTGATGAAGCTCATATTTTCGGGTCAGAATATAATCGTGCGTTTACAAATTATTAAATCAAGTTTTTCTTCATTTTAAGATAATTGCGTAAAATTTCCAAAATATAACTGGTGTCGTTAACGGAATGAAGATTCCGGATATGCAATTGTTCGAGTCCCTCAAATAAATATGAATAATTTTACGTCAGCATTTTAAAACTCTAAAGAATCACATTCAAACTTAGAACTTCCTGGTTTACTTTTCGCGAATTTTACGAGGTTGTTCGTGACATTTCTGAGAACCGCGACCATCGAGAACTCGTCGTTCGATCACAGCGAAACAATCAGGGAGCGTCGCTGATGCGTGGAGCTGTCCCAGATTCTTCCATCTCGACCGTGGCAGACTGTCAGACCTCGCAAAGAATGATGGCCTTTCCTCCTTTCAACACATATCTCATGTATTTCAATCCCTTAAAATTCAGTTCCCGAAATTTCAGAATTGATATTTCAAAAAATCAGTTTCTGAAATTTAAGAAATGACCGCCAATATATAAATAATCCCGTATAGTTTTAATTTTGCAAGATATTTGTTCGAGAAGAATTAGAAGACACTAGAGTTATGTGCTATATATAGTTAGCGATATAAAGCTCTTTTTGTCGTAACCGTTGGTATTCTCGAATATCAACTTCAATATAAATTATTGGAAAATAGTTTATGACATTACCGGACTTTTCTCATAATAAATAAATAAAAAATAAATAATGAGTCATCCAATCGTAATAATTTACCGTGCATTTTTTAAGTTAGAAATTCTGCTTGAAATACTCAATATGATGGAATCCGGTTTTGATAATTTCGTCAATGGAACAAAATTTTACCTTCGAAATGAATAAAGTGATCAACGTCGTTTATACGCGTGTTATATCTTATGAATTTGCTTTGATAAATTTTTACAGCCAACAATACAGCAAGTACTTGTTCAATCATGAATAACATCATGCTATTATAATGCCTCTTAGTATATAATTATTTATTTTGACAGGACAATACACGGAAATATATCTTTGATAAAATTTACGAGAAACTATTCGTGATATATGTAGCAATACACGTATATATAGATCACTTGGCATGGAGAAACTGATAGTCTTTCTCTGAAGAAATATTTACTATTGGTTTGGTTCTTCATGATTATTTAGCTGCTTTGTTTATGCTATTCCTTCTAATCAGGCGCCCAAGCTCCCACGCTCATGAATCGCGATCGCGACCCATCATGAGCAGCAAATTTAAAAGCGAAAGAAAAGAGCAGGGCTGGATAGTAGCCGCTAATGGTTCTCTCCTCCCTACCTCCCTCTGTATAAGTTGTTGGTTGGTTTGTGCATCCCTCCCCCTTTTTCGGGACCCGTGGCAGCCTGTCATGTCCGTCAGTCATTCATCCCGTGCTACCCACAACACGCGCTGCCTCGCTGGCCTCACTAAGCGCGCCGCCTAACACGTTCTAAGCACGTTCAAACGCACCCAAGCTGTGCTCTTATTCCCCAGTGGCTTCACTTAAGTGTGTGCGTGAAAAGTTATTTGAAGAGATTTTCAATGATTTTCTCTGTTGCATAACTGAAAACAGTTGTTCTTCTTTTGTATTATATGAGTTATTTTCACGATATGTGTTTATGCGAAGAAAGAGACTCTGATTGTTCGCAGAGATTCCTTAAGTAACAGTAAAGTTAGTTAGGCGAGAACTTGGGGCAAGCCAAAGTTTACACTGTGAAATTGTGAAATTGTTCCAATAAATACTGTTTGAAGTTATCAAGGAAATCTGAAGTACCAGCGCTTTCGTTCGGGCATTTAGAAGTGACAAATGAAAAGAGGTGCTTTAACCATAGAAATTTAGTTTATAGAAGAAAATTGTCCATATATCATTCGAACCTCAATTTAAACGATACTTCATTATAGAAATATATTTTATGAAACTCAGTAAGTCCGTGTTCGATTCCGATAATATTATTGATGACCGATGATAATTTTACTTATTATTTCTGCAAGTTGGGAAATCTTATGCTTAACTTTTCACCCATTCCAAGTCAACTTTAATGATTGATGCAAGTTGAAAATCAAAAAATAGTGTCCGTTTTTCGTGTAATTATTAACTGAGTGAAGTGAATTCGTGTAGTTTCAATGCATCGACTATTTCGTTGCATAAAAAATACGTTCATGGTAGATTTCTGAACAGCGTGTAACATTTAAAAAATTCGCGTGGCCCCAGCTGGAGGTCGTAGTCAGTCTTTGTAACGCTTTATGGAGCTTTGTATTGCGCTCGAAGGTTTGCATTTGGCATTGAAGCGAAGCCCGGACTTGAGTTCTTTAAATTTGCTAAGGCAGTTCACTTCTTAACGTCAGTGTCTGAACTCGTGCAAACTATCTACGCTCCCAGAGAGAAATAAGATATTTTTTTTTAGATCAGTGTTCCTCATATCTTACACTCAGATTTGCTGTGAAAAAGTGACTGATTTGACGACGCGAAAAACTGGCTGTAAAGTGGTCGCTTTCTACGATTCTAAATGTTTATTATAAATTTTCTAAAAATATTTTAGGTAACCGCAACGTTGCAGACAGTAAATTGAATTGACAGTATCGTGAAATTTATTGATTTTTAACGCATTTGACGTTCGCTGCAGTCATAACAATGGTGGGTTTAATATTGACATAGTTCGTTATTTTTCAGCCTCGTCAATTATACAGTGAATTATGATTAACAAATTCACTGAAATAGCTTTTAGGCTAGTCTATTCCCTGCATTTTTATCTGCTTGTATACATTTGGAAAAATCTCTCAATCAATAGAGCACTACTTTCGCTCATATCGGTTTATATTATTTTCTAATTTTAATTCGCGCTTTAAAAAATTATTTGCAGGCTCGATCTATTTTCCTGTTCTTGCTTGCAAGCGTTTTTTAAGACAATGAGTCATGCTTGAGTCTAGACTCAATACAGTTAAGATGATAGTTGCGCACCATCATTCATATGGAGCACCACACTCGATCCCTCATTACTACTTCATCATCATCCCATTCGTCTAGCCGTGACGCCGATGATTTCAATGCGTACGACCGCATCTGAAGAGCCTTTTGCAACGCACCCTTTCACTTCGCTCATAGATTAACGGTCTCGTTGAAAGGTTCATTATTGCAGGCCATTGCAACCTTCGGCCTGGTGGCATGGAAGGGTTCAAAAGATCCATGATTGCAGGCCATTGCAACTTGTAGGAAATGATTTCAGTGCTTATAATTTTCGTTATATTGTCAGTTATTTTTATTTATCCGAAAAACTTTTTAAGTGGGCTTTCTGATTATTTCAATTAACTATCCGTCATGTGTAATTGATACATGAATTATTCATAGCCAACAAAATATAAGACAAATATTAGAAAGAATCTCTTCGTAGTATGGGCTTTTCGATTCCTGGAAAAGATTTATCTCGGAAAAATTTCTATTTCATTCCAATTGCCCAATTTTTTTACTCTTAATACAACTACTGTGGTCAGCTGATCGAGTTATTACTTTTAAACCTCGATTAATGGCTCTAAGTGGAATCTAAAGGATATAATGAAACTCCACCGAAACTCCATTCATCATTTCATATCACGTTTTCAGCCACTATTGCATTAGAAATCTGTCTTTTGCTGTTAGCGAAAACGATTTTTTCAAATTTTGAATACTGAATATTTTTTCCGTTCAAATTAATTTATCAAATTTAAAACAAACCTTATTTCACAAATCATGGAAAGCATTTTTACGTTGCTTCTCAAAGCTGGCAAGCACCGAAATATTGCATTTCTGACGTTCCCTCCATCTGGCGATTGGCTGCTATTCAATACCCATTCTCTGGTTGTACGAGTTCCCCCTTCCTGAAATTAAGGTCCCTGTTCTTCCCTGGCTGCGGCTCAGCCATTACAATTAATACGCGTCGGCCTCTCCATTGACATAAGGTCGCCGCCTCTTGAATACATTCGTGCTACTGAACCGGCAGGCAAATGCGATGAAAAATAGTGTGACGTGTGTATTTTAATTACGTTAAATTTTATCTTCCATACAAAAAATAGATGAACGTAGTAGAAAGATAAATGGTATTTCTAAAGTTACTGAGATCAATGAAAAGTTTTCAGAGAACGTCATTCAATATGATGATATACGAAGCAAAGGAACTGATTTTGTAAAAAGATTCCAACAAAATAAGCGAGCATTTTTAGTTGGAAACCAAAAAAGTTTGTCAAATTATGAAATTGAGAATAATTGTAGCCGTTAAAGCAGCACACAAAAAATAATATATTTATTTTTTTCCAGTTTAACCGTCTGGGTTTTAACTGATGCGTTCTGTGAGAAATCATAGTGTACGGTAATATTTATTTCAACATTTTTTAGTTGCGAGACTATTTTGGGTCGGTACACCCGTCCATTCATATTTAAATTTTCCGTGACCCATGATGCTTGAGATCAATTTAATGCGCACGGTGAATGTTTTTTCAGTGCGGCAATATAACATCTTCTCATAACCATTACTGACACAAAGCCTAGGACAGCAATGAGAGTCAAATGACGGTGACTTAGTTTCCTTTTAACGCCTTGAACAAATATTACGCATTTGCATACGGTAAATGACGCATGACTCGGTTTCAATCACTGTCTCAATCCGGATCAAAAGGAGCGTTTTATTCGTTACTACTGATACTCGCATTTACATTATTCACATTCACATTGCTCTGAACCTACCTATTTCAGAGGCTATTTTTTATATATTTTTGATTTTAATAAAACACGATCTACTCTACTTGTACATATTAAATTCCTATGTGTTCAAAATTTCAATTTCATTTTCAGGCCGCCTGCAAACTTGTCTGCATTTCATTGAACCATAACCTGGACATCGCCAGGTCCAAATGCTTATTTGCTAAATTATACATTAAACAGTGTTTTAAATTTGAATCTGAATCATTCGATTTCCTTAGGACAAAATTTCTAATTTTCTGCGCAGGTCGGTTGCGAGTTGGTGGGAGGGTTGCCCGACGCTCCCCAACTTCCCCCAACAGCCGTGGCGTCAAACCCTGCCGTGAGTTACCCCCACGTGCCCGACATGGCGAACATGTCGTCATATTACACGTCGTATCCAGACTACCGGCCCCCGCAGCCACCTGACGAGTACCAAGTTAGTCAGGGCGGTTGCGGGGAGTATGATCCCAGGATGCCCCCAGCCCATCCTTACTACACTCACCATCAGCAAGGATACCCTCGTTACCCGCCCTATGATCGGCTTATGAATAGTTACTATGTGAACGCACAAACTCCCCAGCACCCACATACCCCACACGGCCATCACCAGCCCCACGACCCTCACGATTACCGAGATCCTTCACCCGCAGCACCCACTTGCATGGGTCAACAAGCCTCCCCGCCGTTGCAGCAATACCCGTCCTGTAAAATGCAGAGCCAGCCCCAGGGCCCACAACAGCAAGCCCAAGTCCAGCCACAACCTCAACAGATGCCCCAGCAAGCCCAGCAGCCCCAAATGGAGCAGCTGGGCGGCCCACCCCAGGACACAGCCCATCACATGGCAGCGCAGGATGGCACCCAGCCCCAGGGAGCAGGAGTTTGGCCATCACAGCAGCACGCCGGGCAACAGCCACCGCTACTACAGCAGCAGCCACAGAACAATCAAGTCACCAACACATCGCCGCTATATCCCTGGATGAGAAGTCAATTTGGTGAGTTTCTATCTATATTTTTTCTTGTAGACAAGCATTGATACAACACGAAATTTCGATCAATTGTCCTACTTGGAAAATACCTGAAAAATTTAGTATTTTATGCTTTTAATTTTGAGTCTCAATTCATGGTCCCTGAAAAGGAACTCAAATTCAAAATGGGTCTCTAAAAATTTCAGTTTGTTAACGGTAATAAATTAACACGGTCATTGTAGATGGGTTATTATACGTGCATTGCAACCTCGCACACAACCTACTCATCAATGAAAATAATCAAAATAGGTCGTTTTGATCAAGATTGTTTTGGAATTATCTTAAACTAACGTGTGTCTTTGTTTGTAATTTCCGGTAAATTTTTTCTATGACGCAAACTATTCAGAAAATAAAAATAACTATTCCGTGTTAAATTAACGGTCATTTGGAACATGCCTCCAGCACAAGTATGAGTAAAATTACTCAACGAATATATGTAAAGAATTAGTGAAAAAATAGAATGCTTTTAAATTGAAGCTTGAGTTCGTTCATCCATTTCCATTCTGACTGCATTGAAAATGAGAAAAAACTCAATTGTTCAAAGTTTACGTACAATTTATTGACGTTGAATTTCGGTAGCGTTATTCAGAATTTAGTTGGAAGCCAAGGTATGGCATTTTGACCACACAACAAATATTGCTGAACTGTCGGAGTTGCTCAGCTGTGGGTGGTGTGGCTATAGTGAGACCACAGGCCATACAACAATCTTCCTTCCGAACAACGCGTTCAATTTACCACGCTGTAAGGGTTCGTTTCCAGCCATAAATTGAGACACATTTTTGTTCCTGTATGTGTCCTGAAAATTCGTGCCTTTAACATTTTCTACCGCTATACGAAATGCTCTGAGATACATGAAAAGTAAATGAAGCAATAAAACCGAGCGTTGTTGCAAGAAAATAGATTTTTTTATTTTACATATTTTACTTTTAGGTTGAACATTGCAATCCTACTTGGGGAAATTTTCAAGCCAATATTAGTTTCGTTCATGAAACATTTGAACTCTTTGCAGCACGGCCAAATGTCTAATAAACAACCACTAAACTTCCTGATTTCAATTGGTAATTGAAATCAGAATCATCAGAAACTAAACTGATTTCAATTGGTAGTCTTAACCATAAGAATAAAATGCCTAATTTTGCGTTTAAAAAATGCTGGCTTATTTTTATAATTTTGGACCTCTTCCGTGAACAAGATACATCCAGTTCTCATAAATTCTCATGTTGAAGTCTGGTGTCGGCAGATTTTTTTTTCTATTTTTTAGCGCGTTGAAATCCGTTACGACCGTAGCAGTAACCACATTTTTTACAGCTTGTTTTAAGTCACTGGACTTTGGCTGTGCTAAATTGGACCGCTCATAACGGCGCTGACCACACAAATTAGCAGCTTTTATTGCCAAATGAGAAGGTCATTAATCATGGGCAGACTTGAAAAAGATCGTGGTCTTAAGCCAAATTCTTTTTTTTAAAATTCTGGGTTAGTCGCGCTCGAGTATATGTCGCCTCGATCGTACGTTTCATAAAGTTTTAAAAATAATTCTCGAACTGATATTTTTGTGCCAATACATTAAAATTAATGATTGCGAGATCATTGAGAATCATCGAATGTCGTCTGCCTAAGTTCACTGTTAATTATTTCCGGGTATTTTTTCTTAATATCAAATCAAGTTAATTTAATCCCATTGTCATCCTGGAATTACAATTAATATTTTTTTTCACTTTTGGTGATTGAAGGACAAAAAGTTCGTCTGTATTATATTTTCCATGGTCAGTTCCAGAAACAATGTGATAATTGTTTTCTCACCCGTATGGATTTAAATGCCAGCATAATTTAAGTACTCACGAAGACAAAATGCATTGTAAATATATCTGCATTATTTCATCGCTTTCATCTAGTACGAAATATTTCTTCTAATTTATCTGAGTAAAAGTGAAAGTCCGGGAACTGGATCTCTTAACAAATTACCGAACAGATGGCGGGAGACACTCAGTCAGATGCCCGAGGGATAAGATCGTCCACCCCTAATATATGTTCATGAGCGAGCACCCTGTGCGGGCCAAGTTCCCTTTGGACGCATAATCGCTTCCGCATGCAGGGGTCTAACTATTTTTGCGTTCAATGTCTATGGAAAACCGCAACGTTCGGTCGTGCTCTTAGAAGTGATTGCAATAAGTGAAACTATTCAATAATGCATTGCGCCAACTTTCATCTTAATGGCTTTCAGTTCAATTTGTGCAGCAACAGATAAACGACAGCAGCTACTGGCTAAAGCTCAGGAAATTGCAGGCTGGGAATGAAGCGAGAAACGATTTTAGTTATGGATAATAATTTTCCTCTTCTCCTGAGACAAAAAATTGATTTAAGTTGAGACTTCAGCCTCACATCGGTGGAGTGTGTATTGATGTGTAAATCTTTTGAATTTTGTTTAGTTTTTTTTTAATTTAATTTACTGCGTTGAAAATTGTTAAATTGTGTGTCTATTTTGACTTGCTAATTACGTCCAATTGACTTCGATTTGAGAGAAATTTAGCAAATTAGTGTTTTGTTGCTTGTGCCGCAAAAGATTCGATTTTAGAATTATGAAAAATGCAAGTTAATAGAAGTTTGAATTAGTAACTCACTAACATCTACGTTACCGTTGAAACGAGCTTCATCTGTTAATTTCTGTAGAAGCTGCAAAAAGAAGCATCTCTATTGTGTCTGTGATCTCTGTCACGATAGCTGACGGGCAGTTAGGCTTGCGGTTGCGGTTTCTAGCGTTCTCACTAAATCATTTGGAACCAAGGCACTTGGGGTTCTTGCGAGGCTGAAATTTTAATCTTCAGAGTGGCATTGGTGGCAGTTCTTCATCTGACTCCGGCAGTGAAACATAACATCAACGAGCTGAATTACTGGACTGTTTACCGCATAGCAATTCAATGATTACGGACCAGACTTAATTAGGATTCTTTTGCTGCTGACGTTTTTTTGCGCAAAGAAGCTCAACGTAATTACATTTGAGTTATTGCCGGAAAGTCGTCGTTAACTAAAAGAAATCGTTAGGCGTTTAAATAGTGCCTTGGTTGTGTTTACTCATGTGATCCGGAAATTCTTCATAGAAAATTCACCACTTTTTGCAGAAGTTTTTTTCATCCTTCTTTGGTAAGTGGCTAGGCAACTGCAACCTCTAAATCTAAACGTTTTGTCATTGAGTATGTTGCAGAAATATTTATATACGATTTTGTACTCAGCATTAACTCATGTTGTTTTATTAATCACGTGTGTTTCGAAATGTCATTCAAATGAACTATGAAAACGTACCTTCCAAGTTCATTCAATCCGATATCAATGGAAAAGCTTACTACTTTTTTTACCTTTTTGAGCTGCATTTGCCAGCAGTTCGTAGAAGTTGCGAATTTTAGACAAATTGCAGCCGAAGCTACTCAGCATGAAAATGCCTGGGATGCAGCATTGCCCAATCTCAATTGAGTTTACCTGCAGATCGTACATTAAGTGGCGCATTTCAATCAAATTGCAGCCAAATATAGCTACTTAGTTGCATGTGCCTGGGATGTAGCAAAGCTGTTGCCCTGACGTTAAAGCTGACCGCTGGAGAGCAGTGCGTGCGCTGTTGCTATGACCATAAACTACGAACAAGCGACTTGGAGTAAGCCAAGCCCAGCCGACTCTCCTAACCTAAAGAAGGAGAAATGAACGGCCTCATAACTTGTGCTATACCTGTTGCATCCCACGTGGCTCTGCAGGTTTATGGCCGCTGTTTTAGGATGTATCTATTTGTACGAGAGACATTTAGAGGTTCTTTTGGACTGTATCTCTATTTATAGGAGGACTCGCAAATGTTAAGTAGCATCCTTCGAACCGAATCTATTTATGAAAAAGACGCTTAGAGAAGCTGTAGCTCCATGCATCTTTTAGAATATTTAAAGTTTTGTAATAAAAAGTATGTACCTTTTTATCTATAAAAGGTCAAAATTTTTGTGATGCAGCAGAATCGCGCGATTTTTTTCTATCACTCAAAACGGAAAATAGTGGCACCGATTCGAATTATTTTTGAAAAATTTTATATATAATTTTTCTGTGCATGAATTCCAAAATATATTTCGCTATTCTGCAATTTCGCATGATTTTAATTTATGCGATTATATAGGAGGTACACAAAAAGTGTACTTTATCCGGTATTGACGGATTTTTGGCTTTAATCCCCAAATCTAATCTCGAGACGTGTCTGATGTGGCCTCATCAGCGCATGCGTGCGTCACGCAAGCCAAACACGTGCCTCGGTGTGTAGTTAAGCAGCAAAATCTCGCGTGATTCAAAGAGTAGTTATAACGAGCAAAATCCACGCGTGATTCAAAGAGTAGTTATAACGAGCAAAATCCACGCGTGATACGAAGTGTAGTTAAGGAGCAAAATCTTAGCGTGATTCAAAGTGTAGTTAAGGAGTAAAATCCACGCGTGATTCAAAGTGTAGTTAAGGAGCAAAATCCACGCGTGATTCAAAGTGTAGTTAAGGAGTAAAATCCACGCGTGATTCGAAGTGTAGTTAAGGAGCAAAATCCACGCGTGATTCGAAGTGTAGTTAAGGATCAAAATACACACGTAGCTAGGTGTGTAGTTAAGATAAAAATTCTACTCGTGCCTCGGTGTGTAGCTAAAGAGCAAAATTAATAGCTAGGCATCATTTTGGAAGGCTTACTACCAGCTGTTTTCTTTTTTTTTTTGAGGTGGGGGAATGGTTATTATCCGAAAAGAAGCAGTTTTTTAGGGCTGGATTAAGTAAAGAATCAAATTACTTTCAAATTCATTATCAATTTGTTTTACGAGGTGCTTTCAAATTTTGTATAACTAGTAAAATTGGCATTCCAGCAAATTTAATCCTAAGCAGAATATTTAACAATTCACTGCATGAGGAAATCCGGAGACCGAGCTATGAGTTTCCTTTTAGTTTTGGCATCAATGTTTTTGTAAAT